AAAATGCAGGGGAGAATTTAAACAGTCCAGGCTGGACATCACAATACTGGTGTCTCTCCCTTCCCTGGTGTCACTCTGTGGGGGTAGGTACTGGTAAGTCTGGCTTGTCCTCTGGTGAATTTGACTATTGTGGCTGCTGGGAGTTAGGTCCCTGTGCTGGGTGCAGGCTCATCTCCTGGGGCTGCTCTGGCTCTCAGCTTCTTCACCCAGTCCTTCAGATTCAGAGGACAAGTGGGGCATGACAACAGGGCAGAGAAATCAGCCATGGAAGTTTATCATTCACCAAATTAAGGTGGCTTACCTCTTTCGACTTCAATCCTGGATCAGGGATACCCCCAGATGTTATCAGACATAAATCACCGCTGATTTAGCCGTGATACCGCCGGCCGAATCCATCCCGGGTTGAAGCTTCACTCAGCTGGCACTTTTTCAAAGTCAAGGAGCTTCTGACTTCAAAAATTGGCCGGCTCAGCGAGGCTTTGACCTGGGATGGAATTGGCTGGTGGCATTGCGGCTAAATGAGCAACGATTTATGTCTGCTAACATCCAGGGGTATCCTGGATCCAGGATTGAAGCCGGAAGAGGTAAACCAGCTTAATTTGGCGAGTGATAAGCTCCATGATTTCACTATGCTTGGTTCTGGTGCTGTTCTGTGGTTTTAGCTAAGTCAAGTGGAGGCTGGTGGCTCCCAGGGCAGTGGAACATTGAGTCTGCTCTGAGCTACCCAAGGTCCTAAAACTATTTTGGGAATAGAGTTCAGTACTTATGGTGGCTGTCTTAAAGCTCACATGAAATCCCAGAGCAAATCGATCACACAACTGACACTGAAACCAACTGATAAGAGCCCCAGCTGTTGGCTCACTTGTTTGGAAAGAATCTGGGTTGAATAGGTGAGAACAGAGGGCCTAAGCAGACGGCGCAAAGCGCCATCTTTGAGGCCAGGAAGGGGAGGGGCAGCCTCACGCTGGGCGCCCCAACCCCTTCCCCAAAACGTTGTCGGCCGGCGCTCCGACAACGCACTTCTGCTGCAGCATCCACACACGCTGCAGCGGAAGAGGTGCCAAAGGTGCACTGGATGCCTTTTGCGGCGCACCTTCGGCGTCTTGCGGAAGGAGCGCTATTTTAGCGCTCCTTTCTGGAGCAGGGACGCTGCGCCCCGTGCTGCCCGTCTGCTTCCCCCCTAAGTTGCTTACTTTGGTACATGGAGCCACAACAGTTTCTGCAATGAACTGCAAATGACATTTTTTAAAAAATAGAGATTCTATACAGCACTTAATATCATGCTTCATTTTGGTATGCATCTATACAGCTTAGGTCCAGGCTATCTAGCAGACTGTAGGGGGATGCAGACGGGTGGCCCTGGGCCGTCCTGGGAAGCGGAGGATCGAGGCCGAGGCTGCCAGACGCCTCAGCCCCAATCCTCCCTTTGGCCACCTCTGAAAGGAGCGGCAAAAGAGCCGGCGCATGGCTCTTTAGCACCCCTTCTGGTGCAGCACATCAATAGGCTGTGCCGGAAGGATGTCCTGACGCTGCATGCCATGCATACCGGCATGCAGTGTCAGGACGTCTTTGGGGAGGGTTTGAGGCGGCCGGCGTGTGGCTGCCCCTCCCCATCCCTGCCTCCAGGACGGCCCAAAGGGCCTGTCTGTAGAAGCCCACAATCTCCTTGTATGAGCCTTCCCAGACCCTGAGATCTACAGGAGAGGCCCTTCTCTCACCTCCCCCCTACTCACTGGTACTATTAACCTAATTCATTTTGAGTCCCAGGACATTACCTATTCTCACAGCAATCATGCCAATTTTTTTTAAAGGAAACATACCAGTTTTAGAGCAGCTGTTATCTCTTGTCTTTGCAATCACACAACTGGGCCTGCCTCTGCCACTGCGTTCTCATCTTGACTGCCCCTTAACCCCACCTCCTCCCTACCCTTTTGGTTTTTAAAATGTATTTTTATGTATCTTAATTTTAAGCTTTTCACACAATTTCAGAGCTCTACTACTGGAAGTTAAGTTTTTTTTTAAATAGAAAAAATATATATATAAAGGAAACCAGCCTGTTTGTGAACAGCAAAGGGGAGAGGAGATGGGTGAGAGGAGAAACTAACACCAGAGGACTGCCAGTATCACGACTGTCCAAGCAGTCACGTTTTGCACCTGATGACTAGCGCGATTGGGAGGTCATTGATGGGTTTTCCCCGTCAATGGAATGGGGCACCCTAATTGTGTTTGGAGGACACAGCAGCTACATGTTGGAGGCATCGTTGTGTGATAAGCCACCTTTCTTCATCTTTATTCATGCTATAAATGCCACATGTAGTAATCTCCCCAGTCTTGGGGTATAGGTAAGATGTAAATAAAGAGGAGGAGGAGGAGGAGGATATTATGTTGTTAGTGAGAATAGGATTTTACAATATAGGGGAGGACTGTTCTCTCCCCCAAGTTCAGGATTAATAACAAATGAGAAAGATGGCACTGTAGGCAAAGGAAACCAGTGAAAGAACTGTGATTACTTCAGTTATATAGATCTAGGTTTGGTAGCAGGCTGCAATCCTGTACTCACTTACCTAGAAGTAAGTACCTCTGAAAGTGGATTTTATTGCTATGTTGAAATGCATAGAAATGAACTGTTAATTGCATTAGGAGAAGGATGAGCAAGCATAACCTCTCAGATATTTTTGTCTTACAGCTCCCATCAGTAAGGAGCAGTGCTTGGAAATTACTAGCTAAATTTAACTAGTTGTGTGGTAAATAGTTAATGCACTTCCTTGAAGGCTTGATAGGTTAATTTGTTGACTAATGGCAGTCCCTATCAGAGCTTGGAAACAGCTGTTTAAATTTAGTTTGGTGTGCATTAATTCATTTCCTCATTCCCAAACGATGCTTGATCATAGTTTTTTGTGGGTTTTTCGGGCTGTGTGGCCATGTTCTAGAAGAGTTTCTTTCTGACGTTTCGCCAGAATCTGTGGCTGGCATCTTCAGAGAATGCTTGATCACCTGTTCCAATCCAGGTAAATATTCCATGGCATTGGAAAAGTGAATGGACAGTATACATGTTGGAGAGGATAAATTGGGATGGAAGGAAGGGTAGAGAGTAGAGATGTAATTCTTCAGTTTCTTTTTGAAGGTAGCAATGAGTAATTTCAGCATTTTTCCCCGTTACAAGAAAGTATTTGAAAACCACATAGTTATCAAAGGCTGTTTGCAATTCAAGATTATTCCATGCAAAATTTGCACTTGGTTGTTTTGCACAGAAAAAAGCATTTTCTGCATGGAAAACAATATTTCAACACAGAACTATTAATTCCTGCACAGAAAATACTGTTTTCTGTGCTGAATATGCTGTTTTCTATGCAAATCAGCCATGTGTGAATTTAATGCAGAATAAATCTCTAGTTACAGCTCCCAGTACCGTCATTCAGACTTTTGTGCAGGTTGGCACCCCATCCTCCCATTAAAAAAACCCCCTAATTTCTCCCTTCTTCCCATGAACATGCCGCTACTTTCATCCTGTACCATCAGTTCTTATGAAACATCTTGAAATCTCCAACACTGCCTGACCTCCCTTTCCTCATCTGCTCCTTACCCAGTAGAGGAATGTAAACAGCGGCCTTAACAATTAATTTAGAACTACACGTCCCATTATCCAGTATTAGTACTCTACAATACATTGTAAGCAAGCAAAGCTATGGCAGGCAAATCAGAACCTATTTACCATGGCAGTCAATCTGAAAGATTCAGCTCCTGGCAAAAATAACTTGGGGATTGCATCCCAAAACATTTGCACAATTCCTGCAGTAGGGTATAGGAACTACATGGCCAGTCTGCAAATGTCAGTTTCATTCAATGAAGGTTGCTGCAATGGCAGATAAAACTATTATTTTCACAGGTTCAGTCTATGTTATTGTTGCCTATTCAGTGTGGCATTGGAGGGTTAGGATTACGGATGAATTATCCTTAAATTCATTAGATTCATTTCTTTTAGCAGTGAGGTTTTATTTTAAATAGCTGACTTCTTTCCTTTCAGTATACATTGCTTTTCAGAAACATGAAAAATGATACTGGGAAATCGGTAACTAAAGCCTCCACCCAATAACACACCAGGATCAGAAAATACAGTCAACAAACATGGGGCAGTTTTGTTGTCTCAAAGCTCCTTAGACAGCTTAGGTATTTTGTCCTGCCTCTTCTTCCTAGGGTAAGAGTAGAGAACATGCTCCTGTCCAGTTCTCTGAATTCAGTTTCAGAGAACTTTTAGGGGACAATGAGAGCCAGTGTGGTGTAGTGGTTTGAACAATGAACTATAACTCTGGAGACCAGGGTTCAAATCCTTGCTCCACCATAGAAATCCACTGAGAGACCTTGGGCAAGTCATGTTCTCTCAGCCTCAGAGCAAGGCAAAGGCTAATCCTGTCTGAACAAATTTTGACAAGAATACACCATGATAGGTTTGCTTTAGGGTCACTATAAGTTGGAAGTTACTTGAAGCCATGCAAAAGTAACAACTAGGGGCAATAGTCCAGTGATAGGCAGGACCAGAGGTAGATGGTTGAAACCAAAAATGCAAGCCCATTTTAGCTTGAAACTTTTCCTGCTACAGGTTGAGTCTCCCTTAACTGGAATTCCGAAATCTGAAATATTTCAAAGTCCAAAATTGTCCACACGGGTAGCAGAGATAGTGACGACTTTGATTTCTGATGGTTCATTGTATACAAACTTTATTTTGTGCACAAAATTATTAAAATATGGTGTATAAAATTACCTTCAGCCTATGTGTATAAGGTGTATATGAAATATAAATTAATTTAATGTTTAGATTTGGGTCGCATCTCCAAGATATCTCATTACTCTCTCTCTCTGCAAATATTCCAAAATACAAAAAAAAAAATCTGAAATTCAACACACTTCTGCTCGCAAGCATTTTGGATGAGGGAGATTCAACCTGTAGTAGCTAAGGGCCTCTGCAGACAGGCGGTCATGGGCCACCCGCGAAGCTGCGGATTGGGGCCGAGGCTGCCGCATGCCTCGGCCCCAATCCACTCAAGGTGCGGAAAGGGCACCACAAGAGGCGGCACGCACCTCTTCGGCGTCTCTTCTGGCTCAGAGTGTCTGGACGCTGAGCTAGAAGGACGTCATTGGAGCACCCGTTGTGCAATGATGGGCGCTCCAATGAGATCCTCAGGAAGGGGTTGGGGCACCCAGTGTCCAACTGCCCCTCCCCTTCCTGGGATTTGCCGTCTGCAAAGGGGGTAAGTCTTAAATGTTATGTTTCAACCATTTGGAATGGGAGAAGACCTATACCAAATCTAGGAAACTACCTAACAATGATGTCATGGAGCATCATTTGTAGTCATCTGGAGCACCTTGAGGTTCAGTCCACAGGAAGGTTGGATTAGGCCCCAGTTCTTAAAACTCTCCATACCTGTCATACCATATCCTCTTAAGATGCTAATCTAATACAAGACCAGAAATTGAATCTTAGGGCTACCTGTGAGTATGGCAGAATAAACACTCAGTCTAAGGGGACCTAACAGGTCTGTAATAGAAGATGCTGGAAAATAAGATCCCTGAGATGATTTGAAGATTAGTGTGCGGTCTGGGATCAGGCTTGATATATTATGGCCACATCCACTGATCTCCACTAGTCAGCCCTGCTGCAGCCTTTTCTGACTTGGCACTATTTGGCTGTTCTGACCAAGCATGATGGGAGTTACCGGTATGTTATATTATGGCACTTCTGGAGGGCACAACAGTTGGGGAAAGGTGGTTTAAAATGCTTATCTTTGGTTCTCATCAGCTGTATTACCTGACAAATCTGACAATGAGTATGAGTTTGACATGTGTAGCGAAATCAAGTGTTCTGTTATGAGTCTATGCCATATGGTTGCAACATAGAAGAAGCAGAGATTGGAAATACTGTGTTAAAATTTAGTTTGTTTCCCCTAATTATTAAAATTTTCAACTGCGATTTTGGCATTCATTGCCTGATTCATTCCATGCCAAAATCATTTTTTCTGAGTAATAGTTATTTCTCATTTCTTTAATTTGCTACAGATCTTTTTTGTGACTTTTAGAATAGTCACAAATTAGTTATTTTACATTCCTGCTTTAATGTTAATATGTTAGTGCTAAACTGAACAGTTTAATGCTTTGAGTAGACATGGATAGACTCATAAATTTTCCTGTCCTCAACATTTTCACAAACAACATGGTTACACACAAAAAGATGTTATTCAAAAACATTGCTATGCAAACAAAGTATAGAAAATAGTGGTGAGTTAAATGTAATTTCTTGCACAAAGCATTCTTGTGCAAACAATTTTTATTGTAAAAATTCCTCCAAAATAAAGTGCAAGAGCAATTGCAATTTGCCTAGCAGGGAGCAATCTTTTAAATTCTTGCATTTGAGAATGAAATAAATGAAGATTTATATCCCAGGTCTAAGAAGAAGCTTCTTCCCATATAGAACTGTTGTGAGGCAAACTTCCTAACTCTAAAAATGCAGGAAATGTAAACCAGTTTCACTGAGCTCTTTGTGAAAGCAATAGAACATTTTGCAGCAGAAATGGATTCTGAGAAAATTTGTATCTTCCTTCCCCAGGAGGAGGACAGAGAAGGTTGCCAATAAAGAGACGCATTGACCATGAATTGTACAATGTTCGGGCAAAGTTGGCCCAAGGCATACAGGAATTCTATGACTATGATATCTCTCTACTTGAACTGGAGAATCCTGTGCGGTTTGGTGGGAGGATCAGGTAAGGTGTCCCTATGGTTGGGAAAGAAAATAAATCAAGGAAGCATTTAAGATGAATTGTGGATTGTTATACAGCAAATGTGTTGCAGTGATTTTAGTGTTCGGACTCTGGGAGACCAGGATTGGAATCCTCATTCAATCATGGAAACCCACTGAGTGACCTTGATCAAGTCACACTCTCTTGGCCTCAGAGGAAGGCAATGACAAAACCCCTTCTCAATAAATCTTGCCAAGAAAACCATGATAAGTTTGTGTTACGGTTGCCATAAGTCAGAAACAATCTGAAGGGCACATAACTTGTTCTAAAGTGCCTGTATTTATTGAAGACTTGTATGTGTTCTACACCCAGTAAGTGTTAATAAAGAAAAGAAGGAGGAAGGAGGAAGAAATAAGAGAGTTTGTTCTTTTTTGTCCTTTCAGTCACTTAATACTTGTTATGCCTTATGAAAGAAGAATGAGCACTTGTTGCTTTATAAACACAGGCCATTAATAGCAAAGCCACAAGGACTGTAGCTGAGGAGAGAAAGGAGACCATACAAGAGCAAAGTAATATGTTGTGTCTACTTCCATCCTCTGTTGCAGCCTGCCCTAATCTGGCATCCTGTAAATGTGTTGGTTCTCATCATTCTCAATGGGATGCTGGGTAGAGATAATGGGTTATTATCCAACAGAGAGTGCTGGGTCCAAGAAGATCTTTTTAAAAATAAATTGGTTATCCTGTTGGCCTATTGTAATAGTCTGTATTTTGAAAATCACACATATGTCCTTAACTTTCTTAAGGCATAATAGGCAGTATGTGATTCTGAGCATACAAACTTCCCTAAGCACCTAAGAAGTGCATTGCTGGACCTGACCAAGGTCCAGTGTTCTTTGCAAAAAAGCCAGCAACCAGTAAGGACTAGATCAGAAGGAATGTGCATGGCACTTCAGGTTTTGAAATGCAGCTCCTATCAGCCCTAGCAAATGATAAGGTAGCATGGAAGTTACACTCCAAGAACAATTGGAAGGACACTAGTTGCCATTTTGTGCAATAGATAACTAACCAGAAATTGGTCATTGGACTGCAGTCTCCCTTCTTACCACCCCTGTTCTAAAAGTGCTTAGTCTTTGCTGAAATAGGCTTGCTTCAAATGTGACACTCAAAAAGGTATGCAAGATCTTTTGTTTTGTTTTTTAACCAATAAAATTGAAACCTGACATTGCAAGCTGTGAATTCCAGCCCTGGACAGGTGCAGACTGGGTATCTTTTTGTTATTGGTGGGAACTGTATTTTTGGGGGGGAAATTGTGAATCTGACAATGTTCCTCTATGTACAAAAGTGATCTTTCTCTCTGAAAGGAAGCTGACTTTGTTCAAAGCAGATTTAGAAATATTGTCTCCTCCGAAGAAACAGCTAAACCCATTGCTAGTTCAGAACAATTAAGAACATGTCCAGGATTGAGATAAGTACTAGCACCATTGACTCTTCAAATACAGTATGGGCCCTGTATCTACATACAGTTCCCCACAGTTTCATTTACTCATGTCTAGAAAAAATTGTTCTCTCTAGACATTTTTTAAGTCAGCAAGATTTTATGGTATGGTTCTGGCGGATGTTGACTATAGAATTGTCTTGCGTGACCATGGACCTTATCACACGCGGGGCTCAAAGCGACAAGAAAGCGAAATAAGAATAAATCCTGTAACAAACCGAAAGAAACACCACAATATGTAAATGGCTATCAGACACAACTAGCATCATCGCACAATTAAGGATAGCGCAATGGAAGCGCTCCCGGGAACCGTATTTGCCATTCACACACAAGTGAGAAAAGACCCATGGGAAATCACGCTAGGAACCATGGGTCATGACGGGGAAATGCTCCACAATACGTATTTGGTGATCAGACATGACGGCAATAGCGCTATGATTGCGCTATGATTCCCGTCACGCAATTGCAATTCCCCAAGAAACCGAAATTCAAAAGAACTGGGATCATGCCGCATTGTGGCGGGGTTCTGACAGGGTTCTGTGCAACGTCGTGTGAACACACGGAAAAATAATACGTATTAGGACGGGATTTCGTGTGGATTCTGACTGCTTTGGACCCCGTGTGATAAGGTCCCTAGAAATGCCTATAGAGATGTTCGCTCTGGTGATTTCTTGGTCCTCCAGCACAACTCTATGATCAACTTCCTCCGGAAGCCATTCATTTCAAAAGGGTTTGCTATTATCTGCGGTTTTGCATTTCTGCAGTAAGTCTGGGAATGTATGGCTACGAGGGTCATACTGTATATAAGACTTCAATATCTATTAACATCAACCAGTGCAGCCAATGGTGAGGGTTTGTAGGTACTGTAGTCCTGAATGTCCACAGGGCAAAAGATTCCACATCCCCTGAATAAGAGAGGCTGGACATAGTGACAGAAACCAAGGGGGGTTGCAGACTGCCAGAAATAGTGCAAATTCAGTCCACTTTCAGGGTTAGGGTTAGGGTTAGAGAATCATGGGAACAGTATTTTATTGTGGCACCAGAGCTCTCTGAGAGAGAAGGCTCAATGTCTCAGAAAAAAACAAACAATTCCCATGATTCCCTAGCACTAACCCT